GATTTCCTCTCAGCCTTGGACCAATCAGGTTGTGATAAAACCCACGTGTGACCATTCCCTCCTCCCATTCTGGAAAAAGTGTACGTTCTAAACTTCATATTAAAATTATATCCATTTGTTCCATGCTCTGAGTCATTTCAGGATATTTCTCCTACCTGTTTTTCATGATGATAAAGTGATGCAAGTGTGTATGGAATGATCTGAAGCACTGAGAAAGGGAAGCCAGTCAAGGCAGCAGAAACAGTGACAATGACAACACTTTGAGAGAAGCACATGATGAAGGCTGTTAATGGAAATAAAGCCACACTGGCTAAGTAGACCATTCGTGTCCCAAAGTGTTTCACCATCCGATCCATGATTGTTGAGAAGAAAATGGAGATGATACACTGGAGAAAGAGGCCTAGGCTACCCATCCGAATTCCTGAAAAGAAAGATATATATCGTAAAATAAAGAAGATGGACAGGTTAGCTAGAAAAATTTAGAAAGCCAACTATTGTTAGTCATCAGAACAACAATGATCTACCTGTTTATGAAATTTAAAAATAAATAGGAGGAAAGTATTAAATGTGTTAATATTCGATATGTTAGAAATCAAATATGTCGTCAGGTATCAGGCACAGAGTAACCCTCAAATATAGCTCAGCCTTAAACATTTTCAGAACTTTGCCCAGCTGTTAATTTGAGGAGTTAACTATGGCCAAGATGTTAATTTGTACCTACAAATGACAAATATTGTTCACATTTCATTTATATTGAAAATGATGTTTGAATCAGTGCCACATTTCAGTTTCTTGTGAACTTTTCTTCATGCATCTCTAAAAGATAAATTATACATGGGTCACAGATCCAAGATGAGGCAATTATGGAACAGCATTGTGTCACTTCATTAATAAATGTTAAATATTAGTTAAACTGAAACTGGGTCACTAAGACCTTGGAACAATATGCTATATTAGAACAAAAGGCAAGCCAGAGATCAAATGGCTTTAGGAGGAGACGTTCAAAAACTACCGTCTGGGTAGTTTTTCATATTAAGAGATGAGAGAACAGGTCAAATCCATATTTTATCCTTTTGCAACAAGAGGGGGATCTGCACATTTGATTTAGCGCAGGACAAATATATAAAATAATATTTTACAAATTTAATTAACAAAAAGTAGTTTGCTCACAGGCCATCAGACATTAATCAATGAATCAGAAAAATCAGATATTAACTACTTTACCGACGAGGGGATATATTTCCATAAAAGAATCAAGTATAGGTTAATGTTATGTGCATGAATAGTAACAGTAATGAGTTTCTTGCTACTTCCCCTTGAAGAAGTCCAAATTCAAGGAGAAGGAAAAAAAAATATTACAAATGGCAAAGGCAGGTTTATATAAATCTGGCTAATTGCATCAATTATCAAACATTTTTAATAAAAATGGATTTTATAATTACGTAATTTTAAAAACTTTCAGTTCTGTAATCTGCTTTAAGGGCAGAAGCAAAAGGACTATCGCACACTTCATACCTTCATCATAATTTCTCCTGGCCTGTGTCCCAGGTTCAGCCCTGGGAATACCTTGGTATAATCCTTCCCCAACAAAGTCTGTGTAGAACAACATGAATGTCATGAGGGCCATCCAGCTGCAGAATTCCGCCACAAAAAGTTTTTGGATTACCTTGGGAATACGACAGCACACGCCGTGCAGGCGTGGGGCCAAGGCACAAAGATTCCTAAAGGCCTGAACCAGATGCCTGGTCCTTAAAAAGTTCTTTGGAAGCCAGAAGCAACAGCAGGCAAATGATGGGGACTTGGAAGAAGACTTTCCTGTAGGGCCTGAGCTGAGCTCTACTTGAGCTGATACCTCCTCGGTCACAAAGACAGTTGATAAGACACAGCCGAGGAAGATGATGGTGAGGAGGCTGAAGAGGCATTCCTCCTGACCCCCTAAATAAGGAGCAAGGAAGCTGCTGTCCCAGTCAATAGCTGGGAGCAAGTATCCAACACAGCCTCCCAGGCTAACCATGAAAGAGTAAACAGAGAAGGCCTGTCGGCAGCTGTCAGGCTCTTGGAACAGGTCAGACAGCAGAGCTTCCAAGGGGGTGAAGCAGACCTGGCCGCAGAAGTCAAGAAGGCCAACCCCCATGATAAGGAAAGCCAGCTCCAGTGCACGGGCATCCAAGGCAACAAGTCTGGCCAGACGGTGAGCATGTGGAATGATGAAAAGGCTCAGGAAAACACCTAGGCATAGGATCCAGATGAAAGGCCTTCGACGACCATAGCTACTATGCCAATGGTCACTGGCAGAGCCAAGCAATGGTACAAACACTAGACCCAGAACTGGTCCAATTCCTGGAAAATAAGAAGGAGGATAAATGATTATATGAGGGAGTTATATAGTAGTAGTAATTGGAAACAAATGCTCACAAAACAAAAATTACAACGTCAGAAAACCTATCTCTAGATCTCCAAAACCTAAGAGGAAAACCAGACTTCTAAGGGGAAATGAACAACTGCTAGGGGGTCTTTGAGCATCCCCTCACCCATTTTCCAAAATGGAGTATGTGTGTGCCCATGTGACTTCAACAGATTAGGACAAGGGTAAACAAGTTAGCAACAGCAGTCACATTGAAAGGTAAGGAAAGCCAGGATACAAAAGTAGGAGAGTCATCCTGTGTGATAGGGAGAATAAGCTTGAAACATTTTAAAATGCAGAGCTTTCCATCCCTTAGACCTTTTCTTTTTTTTTAAGGTTTGATTTGCAGCCAAATCCAGTAAGAAACTATGCTGCCAATATTTGGTAATGCAAACATAAAGACAATGCAGGGACAGATATAGTTTGCAGATTTTAGGTTGCCCATATCTGGATTAGATTACAGCTAATATCATATAGTTTAATATAAAATAGCAATTATGTTATATTTTCTAATTATAACATAATCCATAATATGCCACTTCACTTTAAATGCACCTCCACATTAAATGTACCTGCACGACGCTATTATTGCAGCCTGAATATTGTTCAGCTGGCAGCCTGCAGCCCTAAGGCCTTGACTGATGGACAGATAAACATGCACACCAACATACACATTGAACTCAAAGTCTATCAAATCTAGCACGGACAGTCTCCAAGCAAAGAAGCAAGAAAGCCACCTACCCAGAACCATTGTCATAAACTTCTCTTCCACTCCTACTTCCAACAAGAGGGGTGGCACATATGTGACACCTGCAGCAAGACAGACCTCCAAGCCAAAAGTCAAGGAGTTGATCAGCAAAAGCTGGACTCTGCGATTCTGGAACACCATGCTGAGCCAGGCCCTCTGAGCCAGGCCACCCATGCACCTCATCATCCCAGAGTTGCCTCAGCCCACAGCATGCTCCTTAGGGGGATTGAGCACTGGAGTTCAGAGTCCTGAGTTTTCTTTTGTAGCTGAATGGCAAAAGATCGGTAGCCATGTTGTAGCCAGCAGTGAAGATATGTTTGTTGTCCACTTGGGTCCAAGCTGAGGATGGCAAGATGAGTAGCCTTAATTGTTTATCATGCTTCACTTTCCCTATGAGAATGGTGAAAATTAAAAATAATACATATCAGCATCGAATTTCCTTAAGTTGAGGCCATTTCTAAAACTGTAGCAATGTAACCCACATAGCAGTTCCCCTACCACCCAACACCCTGAAAATGAATCGTTCCCCCCGTTTTTCAGAGAACACACAGGACAGTTACTCCTTAAACACCAACCCTCCCCATGATGTAACTTAAAGCAGCAGCTCTATCATTCATAACTGAATAACAATCGTATTGTGTCTAGAGTAGGACTGAAGAAATAAAGGTTCCATAATTCCACACTGCCCTTGCGTCTGTTTTTCCTCTGCCTACAATTGCCCAAAATACCACACTACCACCCACCCACACTTGGCAACAGGAAATATAAACTCAATTTGTGACTCTGTGGGTGACACAGTCCCTCAATCCAACTTTCCCCTCAGGATTGTTGTTTTTGGGGAAAATAAGTGGCATTATGTATGCCACCTTGAGTTCCTGTACAACAGGTAGGACAGAAATCTAATTAATAAAAGGTGTAGTAAAAACATCCATATAAATACTACATATCCCATAATTTGCATTACCCTTCCTAAAACAATCGGGAAATGTAATCCATGATCACCAAATGATTTCTCAACCCTGGATTTTTAAATGCTGGCTCTTTTTTTCTTGTTGAGCTATGCAAATAAAGCAGTTCAAACTACCCCAGTTCCATAATTTCTCCCAACAAGTTTCAGAGCTGTACTTTGGGAGGATGTTAAGAATTGTGATTCAAACAAACACTTAAGTTCTGACAACTTCGTAGAACTAAAATAGAACCCTTAATTTGCAGTAATTATGCTTAGAAGTCCTGTCTTAACTTGCCTATTTATTATAAACTCAGGTAGTCCTCGACTTACAACAGTTTGTTTAATGACCATTTGAAGTTACAATGGCACTGAAAAAAGCAGGTTATGACCATTTTTCAAACTTATGATCATTGCAGCATCCCCATGGTCACATGATTTACACTTGGATGCTTGACAAGTGATTCATATTTATGACGGTTGCGGTGTCCCAGGTTCATGTGATACCTTTGTGCGACCTTCTGACAAACAGAGTCAATGTGGAAGCCAGTTACCAACTGCAGTGATTCACTTAACAAACATGGCAAAAGAATCCATAAAATGGGGCAAAACTCACTTAACAAATTTCTCACTTAGCAACGTAAATTTTGGATTCAATTGTGGTCGTAAATTGAGGACTACCTATATATACTCCAACAGCTACAAATGTAATATGGTACATTAAAGCAGTAGATCAGTAGATGAGCAGGAAACAAAATGACAAAGAGGATTCAACAGAAATAAGTACTGAAATGAAACTCAGTGAAGGAGAGATCTGAACCAGTTGTAAGTAATCAGGGTTAGATTAGGGTAGTATTCGGGTTGTGAAGATAGCCACAACCAAGGCCCCCCCCCCCCAAATAGATGAAACATGACTGTCAATATCCTAATGCATTTAGACAATTGATGGTATGGTTATAAATGCCTACTTAAGTGCAACTCTTGCCACAATTAAAAAAGAATAATGTAGAACCCTGCCAGAAAGGCCAATCAGAATGACTCCAATGAAGAAGTGTTATAGCATTTAGCTCTCTGGGTTTGGAACAAAGAAAGTGGAAGGGATAATAAAGAGTATGAAATGTACAATGTATAAAGAAAGTGGATATTGACAGTCATGTTTCATCTATTTGGGGGGGGGGGGGGGGGC